TCTAAACAGTAAACATACTGTTATGATATGCTCCTATACCAAAGTTTATAGCACTTATCACTTAGCATCACACATGTTACTAATTAGCACATTAAGAATAGCATTGTAACGTGCAGAGGAAGAAAAGTCTCTCACACTGTGCTGGCTCTCGATCTCTCGTGCTCTGTGTAGGGCTGCGAAGCCCGAATGGAATCTCCAATCCCCCACTGGGCTCTAAGTTGTTCTGATCCAGGTCCTTCAAGCCAGTTCACAACCTATGAAAGGGAGTTGAGATGAAATTTTAAAGTAATTAAAAGCTCTTCAAGCTTTCATTCTAATTGGTTTTCTCTTCCCAAAGTTCCTCCAGTATTTTTCATCTAAATCAGCGGTTCTCAACCTGTGGGTCGCGACCCCTTTGGCAGTCGAATGACCCTTTCACAGGGGTCGCCTAAGGCCATCCTGCATATCAGATATTTACATTACGATTCATAACAGTAGCAACATTACAGTTATGAAGTAGCAATGAAAATAATTTTATGGTTGGGTCACAACATGAGGAACTGTATTTAAAGGGCCAGAAGGTTGAGAATCACTGATATAAATTCTTTAAATTCTAATGCATAGGCAGCTCATATTCGTTCTGATCATCTGCCAGGATCAAAGAAATCTAGAAGGCTCCGACAAAAATAAGAGGATTAAAAATTAACTTATAATAAGGACATCAGAGAACTATAGGATTGAGAGTTGGAAGGGAAATCAGATATGATATTGGTCACATTATCTAACACTTTAAGAAAACTGTGTTTCAGAGAGACTAAGTGACTTGTCCAAGGTAACATAATCCATTATTGAAAAACTAGGACTAAAAGCTATGTGTCTGTCCTAATATTCTTCCCAAGGCAATGATAAAACTGAATGAATTAACTAATATAAAGTTAAAATACTATTTTTCTTACTTTTGAAAAGAAAGTTAAAAACTGTAGAGCCTAGCCACGCCGGTCAGTCATCCGCCTGGGTTGTAGGCTCAGTCCCCAGTATGGGGCATGCAGGAGGCAGCCTCTCAATGATTCTCTCTCATCACTGATGTTTTCTCTCTCTCCCTCTCCTTCTCTGAAATCAATAAAAATGTATTTTTTTAAAAAAACTAACTGTAGAATTGTACCACTACACTAGTGGCCCAGTGCACGAAATTCATGCACATTAAAAGGGGATTAATTAGAGGAAATATTTTAATATTGCTATTTGCCCTTTCTCTATAAGAGAAGTGTCAGAGAAGAAAGAAAATTAGTAAAATGTATATGAAAATCTTCCTTCTGTCAGAATCTGGGGTGCATCATGGGACCCAGAGTCAAGTCCTCGCCCACCCACATGCACCTCAAAATTGCGCGAGACTCAGACCTGGCCGGCCCCACCCCCATTGGGTTAGATCCAGACCCGGCCGGCCCCACCCTTGTCAAGCCCCGCCGGGCGGGGTGCATAGCCTGAGGTCCCTGCTGGGTGGGGGGCATAGCAGGGGAGCACGGCCTGAGGTCCCCCAGCCCGGGCTGGGGTGGGGGTTGCGCCTTGAGGTTCCCTGACAAGCCCTGCCGCTGGGTAGGGGGGGTGCGGCCTGAGGTCCCCCGTCAAGTCTTACTGGGTGGGGGGGTACACTGTCAAGTCTTACTGGGTGGGGGTGCCGGCGGGGGGCACAGCCTCAGGGTACCCCTGGCCTGGTGCTGGGGGCGGGGAGTGTGTCCTGAGGTTCCCCCATCAAGCCTGCAGGGCGGGGGGCACAGCCTCAGGTCCCCTGGCCCGGTGCCAGGGCGGGGCGACTTTCCCCAGGGTTCCCCTGTCAAGGCTGCGCTTTGCCGGGAGGACTCTGGCTCCCAGCCATGGGGTCTAGGGCTGGGGGGGGATGTCCTCAGGTCAGATTTCATCCCCAAAAGAGTGGGGGGGGGGGGGGAGCAGCTTGAGGTCCCCTGTCAAACCCCACAGGGAGGGGGTTCGGCCGAGCGCAGCCTCAGGTCCCTGCTGATTGTTTGTTAAGGCTCGTTACAGGAACTCGGCCTTCGTTGTGGGTGCAGCCATTTTGTGGCAGAGTGATGGTCAATTTGCATATTCCCTCTTTATTATATACGATTACCCGCTAGGGATTTTCTTAGGATCAACAAAACATTCAGACATACAAGGTCATTTTAAGTTCCAATGACACCGAGCTACTCAGAAGGATGTAGGGTGGGGACTAGTTTGCCACAACAGCAGGATTGGGCAATTCTCTTCGTCTGAGTCCCTGAAGCAGTCCAATTCAGGTGTAAGAAGATGAGATACATATGGGACAGATATAGAAGAAAAACTTCATACCCCCAGGGTCATGCCTGTTATAGAAGTCAATGAACTCAGGGATGCCCAAAGTTAAGTGTTCCATAAAGTATTGGTAGTTTTCCCAATCCAGATCCAGAAATTTAAAAAAAAATTTTAATTACTGATTTGAGGAAGAGGGAGAGAGGGAGGGAGAGAAAGAAACATCGATTTGTTGTTCCATTCATTCATTCATTCATTGGTTGATTCTTATATGTGCCCTGATAGGGGATTGAACCCACAACCTTGGAGTATCAGGACAACACTCTAATCAACTGAGCTACCGGGCCAGGACCATCCAGAATATTTTTTATTATAAGCAATGTTGTCTAGTAACATACTTGACATTCCAAGTCTTTATCAGGTTTTCAGGGTACCAGAGCTAGATAGTTAAGCAGAGATCAAATTTTCATGCAGAAGAAAAAAGGGTTCTGTTAACTCTTTACCCACAAACATAAATACTCTGAATCTACATAGATACAGTAAAGTAATTTTAACAGAAAAAAAATATTATTATCAAGATTTATCTGTTACTAAATTAGAATAAGGAATTCAACAATAGATGAATGATTATGTCCTAAATCTAAACTTAGGACAGCTCCCAAGAAGTGAATAAGAGTGTCTCTGAAGCATGATATTATAGATGCAATGGATGGATAGGTTTACCTTAGAACTTTATAACAAAGTATCACAGACCCATAGTGCATTTCTGTTACTACTAGGTTAAAACACATTCATTTTAAAATCTAACAGCTCGTGTAATTTTTAAAAAAGTTTCATCCTTCTGATTTTTAAAAATGTGCCACATTACAGGAAAAAAATCATGTATATTTCCTTCCAATCATTTTTTATATGCAGTGTTTTCATATGATGCTCCAGATTTAAGTGCCATAGCCAATTCTCAAAGTAATTTCTATCCTGTTTTTCACTTAACATTAAATTATACTATAATGATTTTTCATGTGGCTACAGTTATAATTTTCAATGCTTGCAAACCTTTTTTAAGAAGGATAACTTCCTTGCCTGCCTGCCTCCCTCCCTCCCTCCCTCCCTCTCACACTTCTGTCCAAGCAAGCAAGCAACCAACCTACCCATCCTTATGAAGAGCAATGTAAGTAATGTACTGCCTCAAATAACTGATTTCAAGACTCCATTTTTCTATTGCTAAGCATGTAGAATGTTTCCAATTTCCACCAATTCTAAGTAATTCCATGATGAACATTACATATATAACATTTTTAGATTTCGCATTTTATATATATACTAGAGGCCCGGTGTACGAAATTCGTGCACTGGAAGGGGGGCGTCCCTGCAGCCCCGCCTGCACCCTCTAGCAGTTCGGGAGCCCTCGGGGGATGTCCGACTGCCAGCAGTTGGACAGCCTTAGCACTGCCGCAGAGGCAGAAGAGGCTTCTGCCACCACCGCTGCACTCGCCAGCAGTGAGCCCGGCTTCTGGCTGAGTGGCACTCCCCCTGTGGGAGCGCACTGACCACTAGGGGGCAGCTCCTGCGTTGAGCGGGATCAGGCCGAAACCAGCTCTCCGACATCCCCCGAGGGGTCCCGAATTGCGAGAGGGCACAGGCCAGGCCAAGGGACCCCACTGGTGCACAATCGGGGCTGGGGAGGGATACGGGAGGTTGACCAGCTCGGGATGGACTGCGGGAGTGCTTCAAGGCGTGTCTGGCCCATCTTGTTCAGTCCCAATCAGCTGGACCCCAGCAGCAAGCTAACTTACTGGTTGGAGCATCTGCTCCCTGGTGGTCTGTGCCCGTCATAGTGATTGGTCGACGGGTCAACTGTCTGCCCCCTGGTGATCAGTGCATGTCATAGCGAGTGGCTGAGTGACCTTAGCATATCATTAGCATATTATGCTTTGATTGGTTGAATGGACGACCGGACGACCAGACACTTAGCATATTAGGCTTTTATTATATAGGAGGATATATGCAGCATTTTATAGTTATATGTAACTTTTTTCTAAGCTGTATTGTTCTCATTTATTACTATGTAATACAAATATGGGATATTGCAACAGACATAAAATAGCTTTCAGCAATAAATATAATCAATTATTTCACTAGAAGTGTCTAAATTCTAAAAATAAAAACATTTAATGAATTAATAATGTATTATACATTACTTTTAAAAATTGAAGATATTATTTAAACATTTAAACTTTGCTTTTAGAATATGCTAGAAACAAAAGAAGCAGGTTACTATACATAAATCATGATAAGGAAGGGAAAACAATTCACTGACATGGAACTTTCAAAGAGCAAAGGCATCTTGCCAAAAAAAAAAAAGAAAAAAAGAAAAAGAAAACCCACAGGAAGCCAGTTACTCGTTTTAATGTATACTAAAATTTCCCTTAGGATGCAACATCAGTAACTGTATGACTATTTCTAATAAAAATGATGCAAACTGAGGTTGATGCCCCAGTAAACAAATTTATTAAATGCATTAAGGATGATGCTTTACCAAACTAGGTTATAAAATAAGTTCAATCAGGGCATCTAGCTCAGTCAATCTGAATATTAACTTACTGCAAAAGCAGTTCCATGCCCAATCTATATCAGTGTGACTTCTCAAATGGTTATATGTATATGTAAAATAATAACCTTGGATTGCAGATGTGTTCTTAAAATCTACCATGACAAATATCTGCAAAGGTAAAAAATGCATGTGAGTATCCACCATTCTTTCATGACTAGGCTAATTTCTAAAGAATCTATGAGAGAGTATCTGGAAGTATGTGAGGTCACATCATGCAGAAGGGTATGTCAAGCAAATATCAAGCAACTGACCCGGAGAAAGAATACGAGGAACTGGGTACATAGCCTCCAGCTACATACACCTGCAACTCAGCATGTATCCTATTTTGCCCCTATGGTTCCTTTCTACAAACAGGAAAAAGCACATGGATGACTCTAGAAATAA